TTTTGTTGAAGAGAGAGTATAAGCAATAATAGGAAGGAACAAGGGTTTTTGCTAGTTGAGATAAGGATAGCTATATAGGGAGTTGACTTGCATTGAAGTAACTTTCTTAATTGTATTTTTCCTTGTAATCTTGTTTATACTTCTAAACAAACTATGTTTGCCTAGAAATTAAAGTTTTCAAAATTAAAATCAGCACAGTGTACATGGGCTTATCTCAAATTACAATTTAACTCAAATTGGTGATTTTTGCTTTTGTTGGATAGACATTTTATTTTAGTAGCTAGGGACAGTGTTGACTGTATAAACATGTCAATTATAGAGTCTCAATACCAAATGGATTAAACTTCCTCTTTGATTTAGCTAATCTTTGCCAAAAGAGAAAACTCCCAAAGAGTTCAAGTGGGCAGTTAGTTGAATGTAAGGAAGAGGTAGTCTGGATTATTCAAATTTAACATCTTTAAACATTTAAAATCATTCAAATATTTTTGGCTGCAATGTTATAGGCAAATTTTAGGACTTCTACCAGTACCATGTCCAGGTCATAACTCTTGCACAGAAAACTTAAAGTCCATTTACATATATCACATTAGTTTTGCTGCTTCTCTCAATATTTACTTTGCTTTTAGCAAGTTTCCTGGGTTATGTTTTATTATAGCTACAGTTGGAATTTTCTCCTTTTGCATTTGTTTTTGCCCTTTGAATGGATTAGTGTCATTTTCCCAAATCTACTGATCCATTAGCATATAGACCATAACACTACAGCATCACTCTCCATAGTGAAGTGTATACATGTCATAAAACAAATAGGACCATTCTAGGGGAGCAGCAAATAGAATATATTAATTTCTATTCTATTTCCTTCAAAATTTCTTCTAAAATTAGTTTATATGTATATTCTCAAATGTAAATCATCACAGAGTAACATATGTGTAAAATTTAAAATTTAACTTAAAATACATACACAGGAAGTGAATGATCAGAAACTTTCCTTATAGGAGTACTTGGTCAAAAATTTTGGAGTCAACAGAACTAGAAGAAGGAACCAATGAAATAATAATATGTGTGAAGAACAAAAATTACAAAAAGAATAACTTTTTCCTGCTTCTTCCACTTTTGAGTATAAACATGTTGATTCTCAAACTTTCTTTAGTTATTAAAAAGACATTTTAATAGGAAATAAAGGATTTGAATGACAGCAAAGATCACTAATAATCTTTGCTTTGGTATTCCTTAAGAACTCTTAAAAGTAACAAAATTGATATATTGAAGTGTTAAAAAGCCTATAAATACCCCCTGACATCATTTCCAAATCATAACACATTATAAGTACACAAAAGATTTTTTTCCGCACAGCTTGACTTTATTGCAAAACTAGAACTGTGGTATTTATGTATGACTTAGCAGTGTTAATAAGGAAGCTTCTGTTACAATTTTTAATAATAATGTATTTTATTTCTAATGTATATTTTTGTGGAATGGATTTTGAAAATTCATCTATTTTATGGCTTGTTAATGAAAAATCAATGTTCCTGTGTTCTTAGGGTATTTGGTTTTAGAAGCTTTAATTTATCAATCTCTATTTTAGGCTACAGATTGAGTCCTCAAACATTAAGTGCTATTGCTAAACGTTATAGCAAGAACGGCAGAATTTTCTTTGATGACTATGTTGCTTGCTGTGTGAAGCTTCGAGCACTGACAGGTATTGACCATTTCAGAGTGGGTTTAATGTTATGTAGCTATTTTTCTTGAAAAGTGTCTCTGTTTCAAGCTTGTACTATCTTTCCTCTTTATTCACTATTAAATGTAAATAGAGGTTTAAGGCCTGAAAATTTAAGGCTTCAAAGCTTTATGATATAAATAGTGAAAAAAATATGATAGCTCAGTTTTAGAAAGCTTTCTTCCTGTATCAGTTGCCTAGAATATTAAATTACTTAAGACTTAGTTGAATATGAAATTATACAGACTTTGTACTGGAAGGCATTGGGTGTTTGAAATTATAGGTTTTATGTGATAATTTTAAAATGTAATTTCTTTTTTAAGATTTCTTTAGAAGAAGAGACCACTTGCAGCAAGGGTTTGTGAATTTCACATATGAGGATGTGAGTATCCAGCTTAAGATTTTGATATTTATATTCTTTCTACATGTGTTCTTAGTTATCAAAAACTTAATTGATCCAGGCTAAAATTACTGGAAATACTATGCTTTATAGACCATATTATTTTTTATATTTTTCAACTGAATGCAACTATAAGATCAATATTGCATAATTACCAATTTTATTTTATAGAAAATCTAATACGCTTTTAAATTTTATGACAAGTTTTTGGAGGTTCATTTGTGGAATCACTTAAAGGGGAAAACTACCATTATTTTTATTAAGAATTGTATACTTATGATAATTTCTTTTCTAAGTGAGAGAGGATATTTTAATGAATGACAATTATGAAGCTGTTCATTTCTCATTTCAAGTAGTTACTGAGAACCTGATTCCAGACTCTTTATATCGAAGTGCAGGAAGTGATTTTTCATATGTGCTTTAATGTTTCAGGGTTCTTGTCTTGTTTTTGTTATATTTATTTATGGAAGTTTTAGGATCAATTACCTTACTGGTAGATATTGGCTTAAATTATAAATCTTTAAAACAATGTTTCCTTTTTCATGAAACCATTTCATGAAATATAATTAATCAAAAACAATTTCATTATTGCCAGATGATAATTTTGTTTATGTGTTAGTTTTTGCAGGGCACCATGACAGTTTAAATGCCTACAAATTCAAAGCTGAAGAAATAGTGTGAATCCTTTTTGCTTGTGAGAAATGAAGTGGACTACTTTAAATTAAGGTTTTGGGGCTCTTTCTTGTTCCTACCTGATAAATCTTTTCTCTTTCTTTTGTTTTAACTTTCAAGGACAGTAAAAAGCAATAAGATTTATATCTTTATTTGAGATATTATTGTTTTTGGAGAAGTTATCACTTACAAACTTTTGAATATTGTCATAAATATTGCTATATTATTAATTGATGTCAATATTTCTTAGCCTTAATTTTTAAATAAAAATCTAGAGATATATACTCACATGATAGATTGCATAAGAAGCCAAATGATTAAAGCCTAGATAAAACAATTTATACTTATCTGAAGAGTACAAGTTACATTTTTGAATTTTGTTTGCAGTTATGGGTGTTCAAGGGTCAGAGAGAAGGGAAAGTATGGATTTTGTGCCATGTTTGTAATAGGATTTGTTCTTTGATCAAATAATCACAGAACATAACCTTTTAAATCTTTTCCTGTGAAGAAGAAAATTGTACTTCAGAAAAAAATGTGTCTTATTTTGAGTCTGTAGTTAAATAAGACTAGAGGAGGCAATATTTTAAAAAATTTTTGTAGTGCATATTTTTCTTCAGTTTATTTTATTGTCTACTGTGGAAAAGAAAATTTTTTTGTTTTCTTTAAGGAACAAAAAGTTGCTTTGTTTTATTTCATTTTTTGAGGTAGGATCTCACTATGTGGCCCAGGCTGGCTTAAAATTCTGCATCGTTCTGCTTCAGTCTATTGAATGCAGGGATTAAGGTGTGTGTGCACTCCCATGCCTACCCTAAAAGTTCTCAAATAAACCTAGTTGCTTTTCCTGCTGCACTCTATTTCATCAGTGAAGACACACATAGCCTAAAATGTTACCTTTCTCCAAACCAGATTTTTTGTTTTTGGAAATGACACATGTTTTTAATGAAATGTCAGCATTTAAATTTGCTCTGTTCTGTTAAGCAAAGGTACATTATTATCTAATGTCAACTGTTTATGAAGTTTAAAAATCAAGTAATGTAGCACTTGAAAGTTCAGAAATTATAGTTTGGCTTATTTGACACCATTGGCTAGTGTTTTGGTTTTAGTGAACAAGAAACTGTCTTGATTATGTCTGTGTCACGGAGGGTACTGAGCATGTCTCCACAGCGATATTTCTGGATGGTTTTTCCACAGAAATGGCAAAGCAGAGTCACCAAGTTCTTAACGTTCAAGATCCTTGGTATAAGCTGTCATAGTGAATTTAGTTTATTGGCAGACACCCTAAGACTTTCTTAATGAAGATTTAATAAGCCACATAGTTTTCTTACACTTTAACTGAGTATCTTCCAACTAAAGGTGAATACATATAGACATAATTTTAGTATGACTGGTGACAAAATTAATATATAGTTTTTATAAAACTATATTTCTTTAAGGATGCAAGATGAATATCAGTATCTTGGGAAAAGTCTTATAAATGTAAGGAGTTTTAAATCAGTTTTTACTTCTAATAATCTTTTAAAAGAAGTAACATATAGTCATTCTGCCATTTTTAAAAAATAACTTGCTGTCAAATTCACTTGGTCAGTTTTATAAGAATGGGTTAGGAAGTAATCTATAACTTCTGTCTTCTGTATTTTTTTTTTATGGACATACATTTGACACTGTGAAAGGATAGTAACTTGGACATAAAACACATAGAATTTTAATTTAAACTGTTTTAGGAGAAAGCAACTTATTTTATAAACAGACTGTATCATTCAGGTTTTACAGTTGTGATATGACTCCAGCAACCTGGAATGCTAATTTACAGGAGATAGATTGTCAGCAGTATAATATTATTCATTAAAGGTTTTGTCAAGTAACTTAGGTCATTTTAAAATCACATAACTCATCCCTTTTGAAAGATGTTCTTATGAATTTTGGCGTCAGGAGATCTGTGAAGAGTTTCCATGACCAAACAGGCTTGGAAGGTCTCATCTTCCCCAGGGAGTTGAATAAAGTACATCAGCATATAAAAACCTTAAGCACATACAATTATATGTGATTTTATTTGATCCAGTTTACTTCGAAATTTTGACCACAAAATCGCCTTTTCTGGGCAAACTAAAATTCTATGCTGATCAAACTTCACTGTGAAGCAATTATTTTGCACTTACATTTAATGAACGATCTTATAAACACATTAGGAATAGAGGACATTTTATCAGGAATTTTGTACTGAAATCTAGTTCACATTTTTAATGCTGTTAAAGTAATTAATATAAAGGGATATCATTTCTTAAGGTAAAGGCTAAATCGCTTCATGCGAACATGGATGCAATGTGGAAGTAGTGTGATGGTTTGTACTGGCTAACTTATGCCCAATTTTCCTTATAATGATGTAAATTATTAAATAATGTACACTCTTAATGTATAAGTGCTTTTATTTATACAGTAAACATGTTTCCATGTCATTTTGAGATTTTTTAATAAACATTCAAATAGCTTGCTGTAAAGTTTTGTATCATACAAAATTTGTTACATATATACTATTATGAGATGCTTCAGTTCAAACAACAGTGCATAAATTCACCAATATCTAAAAGATTGCCAAATGATTAAATGTCAGGTATTGCACTTCTATTATGAGTGGCAGTTTATACATTTTAAATTACATCAAGGGGAAGTCAATACTATGGGAATCTTAATTTGGTCCACTTTAAACGTAGTTTTAAGGAGTGTGCTCATTAATCTGTTTTAAGCATGCATCCAGAAAAAAATAGTAACAAAAATGTTGTAAAGTTATATATTTATTTCCAGAAAAGGCATTTACCCTTGAAGAAAGTAGAATTTATTTAGGTAGTTTAAATTCTGTGCAATTAGAAAATAACAAAAATCATTTGTGAATATTTCTTTAAAATATACAAATGAAGTTCTCTTGTAACCTTATGGCATTACTAAACTGGACAACAAAATAAATAGTATTTGTGAGAAATGTGCTTTTCTATGTCCTTTTCTGTTTGACAAACTCATAAGTGAAATATTTTCTCCTTATTATATTTTTCTGGGAAATTGATAAGAAAGTTTGTTAAATCTGCTAAATTAAATCTGTTGAGTAGAATACAAGATTTCTTTAAGGTTAGCACATTCTTTCCCTTCAACTTTAAAATGCAGCCATGAATTATTACTTGGAAACTTGTATTTAAAGATCTCATTGGTAATTATCATTTACATGTGAATCAAGCACTTTCAAATAACATAATTGCATAATGCTAATGTATCATCTAAGAGTATGTTTAGAGTATATACATAGTATTAGATGATGCAGATAAAAATATTTAGAACTTCTGTTGTAGTGATGAAATCAGAGATCTTAAATGAATCCTACATCACAATATATGTCCAAATATTAAATTTAAAATTTCCTGTAATTTTGACTACTGAGCATAAAGCTACTTTCCAGCAAAACACTGGAAAACTTAGGAAAATTTTCTGACTCACTGTCAGTTCATTACTTGAATGCTAGGAAATGTGTGCTTTTAATCATTTTCTATCATGTAACTTTCTACTTTTTTAAAACAGATTTTTCCAGCATATATTAAAAGAGCCATATGTATTCAACTTTGCTTTCATCCAAGTAGCTTGGTAGTATGTAGCTTCGTATATCATTTTGAGAGCATTCAAAACTCAGGCTTGCTTCTGTATATCTGAATATGTGGTAAGTAGACACAAGCACCACTTCTATATCGTGATAATGTGTCATACTATCAGAGGATGAATAATGCACATGTATTAATATGTTTTCAGGTATGTCCTTTTGGAAGCATCAAGAGATGGTGGCAGTTTTAAAAGCTTATGGGGACTAAAAAGAATTTACCTAGATCATCATTTAATAAACACATAAATATCCAGAATGGTTCATTCCCAGTTCTGATACATTGTGGGGGGACCTCAACCTTTTCTCTTAAGCATAAAAATGTAAATATGTACAGATACATGCATATAATCATTTGCATTTTAGTTGACTGTATTATTTAGTCACATTTTATTTGCTATGATTACTGAAATTTCCAAAGATAATCCGAACAGAGCTAGTGTGACTGTTTTAGAAACATACTAATTAAGAAAAATGTTCTTTTGAAAATTGTAGGCAATTTAAAACTAATCTTAGGATTTACTGACCTTTCAATGCTTATTTGATTTCCTACAGGTATACAAATGCAGGACTCTCATGTATCTTATCTCAAGAAGTAATTTATCTTATGGCAAGTTTTAAGATACATTTTGCTTTCTGTACTTAGAGTTTGATTTTCTGATCAGCCTCATGGAGTATTTTTTACTATTTGTATTTTGTTTGGTTTTTCATTTATCACACAGGGAAATGTTCTTCAGGTTTTTTTACATCTTAAAAATGAAGAGGGGGGGGTCTAAACCACTAAACAGACTAAAAGTCCTTAGCTTAGTGGAAGTCACAATTATAACCAGCAAATTTTATTTAAAAGCTTTTTGAAGATAGTTTGAGTTATTTCTTAAATAATAGATAGAGAAGCAACCAGGGGAAGAATTAAGAAAGTAAGAAACCTAGACAAAAGAAAATACTCCCTGTATACTTTCATTCTTGTTTGAAAAAAATAAGTCAATCATACATCATAAAAATGTTATTTTACACACATAGGTTAAGACCTGTTTACCCATCAGAAAAATTTGAGGGGCAGTAAGTGAAATGTTTTTATGTTTCTTTAATTTTAGATTTAATGCTTTTTACCACTCAGTCCAGCTTATTAGTGACCCAATGGAAGTCAGTAAAACTGTAGCACTGTGACAATTTTGTGATTTTGTGAAATACATCAGCACCACCATGCCTATATCTAGTACTGTACCTAGTAAAATGTTGGAAATAGTTGACTCTCTAGTAAAAGTATCCTAACTAATGAGATTTACTTTCCTTTTCCCCAAAATAATTTCTTTTACAAATTCTTAAATTTTTCATGTATAAATAGATCAGAAATTATATGCTTCATTCTTAAATTATGTATATATACTATATTTCAATACAACTTGTACACCTCTTTTAGCTACCAAAAATTTGCAACCATTTTTACATGAAATTTACATTTTTCTTATATACAGTTGTTTGTAGAAGGTTATTGCAAAACTAGTTGTGCAAGTAGATTACACTGTCAATACCATATACCAATCTTTGAAGAAAATATTTGCTAAAAAATAAATATAATTTCTGCACAGAATATTTCAAAAGCATCGTGATTCCATGCTACATAATGTGCATAAAGTTTACGAAGTAGTATGTGGTTTGGTAGATTGATTCATTTAGATTAAAGCATTCCAGAGCACTGCTTAACTGGATGTGGGTGAGCTTCTTTATATCAGATGACTGACATTTTCAAGTTATCACACACATTCATTTTTGAAATATGTTATTCTTTAACTGGTGAACATTCTGATATAATACATTTTCTGTCATCAACATTATGAAATGAAAAGTTCAGCTAAAAAAAGGTAATGTGCCCTCAGTTGAAATAGAAGGCCTCGGAGACAACTAGGGATTTCTCAATATCGTCCTTATTTTTTTAATATTTGGAAGATGGATGCCATGTCATTTCAATGCTATTGTAATTATATGGACACTTGAGGAGACTACATGGAGGTCTTTTTTATAAGATTGTTGATCCTTCAATTTTATTTCTAAATAAAGATAAAAATGGTGTGGAATTTTCTTACATACTCAAACAATATACATAAGTATGAAAAATAATATAGTTTAAATTCAGTTGTAGTGATTCACAGTTGTGAATTTTAAAACATCAAAATACCAAGGAAGTTCAAAGTATATAGGCTAAACATCAGTGCTTTAAAATCACAGGTGTAACTAATTATTTCAAGTCTTCAAAATGTAAATCAACTGATGAAAGTCATAGATGTCGTGAGTTCAATGTAGGCATTCATCATTTTTTGACATTAACTTTTTAAGAATATCAATGTTAAAGTTGCTACTTCTCATAATAAAATTGTTTTATTGGGAGCATTTCTGTAGTAACTCTTGCTATTTGTATTTAAAAGTTTGAATACGATTGGTAGAGCAATGAAATTGGTCAATTAAGTACACGGTACTGTGTACATTGCATTTCCACAGATGCTTTATTCTCACATTCAGAGTAATTACATGTTAGGTTTAAATATCCTCTGCTTTGTATTTCTCACCTTCCACTTACTTGTCTATATAAGTAAGCCTTGTGATAATTTCTTTCCATTCTGTCAATTATAAATAATGTATGTCTTCTGTGAATTTGCTTTTTTCTATTAGACATTAAAACAAAGTGTATTTGCACTACAAGAGAATTAATGAATTATTCTAAGCTTGGGCATGGATCAGTCACAATATACAATACTTTTATAAAGCATTTAAAATACCATTCTTTTAATTCTTAAAAGGTTTACATCACTTCAATTTCAGTGGAATCACAAGAAAATATCTTTGAAAGAGACCATTTGAGAAGTGAAGGAGAGGGAAAGTTGTTGCATACCAAGAAAGCAGTCGCAATGTGAATGTGTAATTTTATAGATACTGGACAAAGGCAATTATTTGACAAATATCCAGATGCTATTTCCATAGCATCAACCTTCTCTTTCTGATGTGTAACTGGACCTTTGGGAGGTGCATGAAAGCCACTGTACATATTTTTGTTACAGTGTTAAGTGTGGTGAGTGTTGAGGTGAGGAAAGGACAGCATAGGATGTGAAGTGGTACCATTGTGATGCCACAGTAACACTACTATCCTTGTGATATGTGCAGGTCATATGATAATCATACAGTTTTACTGTACTTTATAAAATACTTCCACATATATATTTCAGAGGATCCTCAACATTAGGATAAATCAGTTGCTACCTTCATTTTTATAGTTTTGGATGCTGGGACTCATTGAGGGTTTGTCTCAGAGTAAATGAAGAAAGTAGGGTTTGAATTCAAGTTTACCACATTCAGTCCCTTGCCATTTCCACCATTCTACATGAAGAGCTTAGGCAGTCTAAGGTCTATAGTGTATGTATCTGTGCCACAAGGGAGTGGGTATAGGTGTTTGGACAGGACCATTAAAACATAGAATTCTATTTTCTGTAAAAATAGAAAGTGGATTTATCTTTGAAATTGTATTTTGTAAATATATTAGCAAATACCCATCTGGGACCTATCTGATGTCTGAAGAGGAACTTCCACAGTGTGCCAGCCTTTATAGAATACATTCTAGTAGTACCAAATTGCTACCAATTCAGTGCAGATATGTTTTTAACAATGAGATTCATAGTCTCACTATTATTATTGTAAATAATATCACTTTAAAGCTATAAACCTAAGTAGTGCAAAATACAGTTAAGAGAGATATGGATCAAAAACTTTAGTCTTTGTAACCAGGCACCAGTGGCTCACATCTGTAATCCTAGCTACTCAGGAGGTGGATATTGGGAGGATCATGGTTTGAGGCCAGCTGGGGCAAAAAGTTTGCAAGACCTCCATCTCAACAGAAAAAGCTGGGTGTAGTGGTATACTCCTGGCATCTCAGCTACCACCAGCAGTCTAAATAGGAGGATGGTGGTCCAGGCTGGCTTGAGCAAAAAGTGAGGCTCTATCTCAAAAATAACCAGCTACACAAAAGGGCTGGCAGAGTGGCTCAGGCAGAACAGTGCCGGCCTAGCAAGCGTGAGGCCGAGTTCAAACCCCCAGTACTATACTTTTCCTAAAAGGTAGTTAGAGACATAGCACATTGTGCATAAGCTAAATTGTGAGAAATTCTTTGTTTTCCTGATTGTTTTTAATGTCTTATTCATGGGTGAGAAACAAAGATTCTAGCATTGGTTGAGCACTTACTTTGTGCGTGGCATTACATTCAATCTTATGTTTTGCTCAAGTTTTTGTGAAACCTGTACCATATCTCTGTTTTACAGTTTCAGAAAAAAGACTCAGGTTAATTA